CATCATTTATTATATTACATTTACCTTAATTTTCAAAAAGCGTGTCACGAGTGTATATAAACCTGATTGGGACTGTGGCTTGTCATACGTTGGACAGACAAAGAGGATCATCGCTACAAAAATGGAATAGCATGTTGGTAACATACATTTTATTTTTAACACACCTTACATACAAATCGTTTCTCGATTCTCATTTAATAACCTACGTTCTTACTATTACGTGTATATATTGTTGAATGAAAGACTATTAATTCACCGTATGAAGTGTGGTAACTAAAAATTCAAACTTGTAGCAAGAGCAAAGATTACAGTATATACAGGAAATACAATTATAAATAAGTATTAGATTTCCTGATTTCTTAGATCTTTTTCAGTCCCTACCACCCTTTACTCTTTTTATATATGCACTAGCTTTCCGCCCGCAACTTCGCCCGCGTGGAGTTCGGTTATATCGCGTTTCTAAGAGAACCTTTCAAAAGTCTGGGATAAAAACTGTCCTATGTTCTTTCTCAAGGTCAACTCTATCTCTACACCAAATTTCATTAAAATCAGTTCAGTGGTTTAGGCGTAAAAGCGTAATAGACAGACAGACAGACCGAGTTACTTTCGCATTTATAATATTAGTAGGGATTATGCATACGATCCGGAGTCGTCTCTGAAGTGGACATAGCCATTATAATACCACTCCGACCTTCGTAGGCAGTTCAGGAAATCGAAAGCGGTATGAGTTAAATTATTTATCATCAGATAGTCCTTTGTCTTTTTGTTATAGATCTTTTTCCTGTACTACCGAAGTAACACAGAGATTTGCAGCAGCTTGCTTGCATCTGTGTGATCTGAAACCTCATAAAATTAACCAAAGTGGAACTATGCTATTGGCCATTGGGTGGCATAAATGAGGTCATATTCATAGTACAGCCGTGGATATCTTCTTCTAGTGGTCTCTTGAAGTTGAGCAAACGATTGAGACCTACTTCTCTTTCTCAATCGAAAGACATGACGTACCAGCTGTCCAGGATAAGGCCTTGTACTTTATATACCTGAACCATAGCATTACCTCAGCTGTATTACCTCAATTTGTACTTTAGATAAGCTATTCACACATCTATAGCACAAAACTTTCTTATATCCCAAAGAAAGCAATTTTTCCGAGAAGTAGGGTCATCTAACTCTAAAGTGTTGTACAGATAGCAAACGCCATCGAACCAGGGAGTAAAAATGATGGTCAGTATCATAGGCAAGATTCGTAGTTGGGGTTTTAAAGTAATCCACTCGAATGGGGAACCATGCAACAGTTCTTCTGAGCATTTTTATCGTTCTGATCAATTAACTTAATTAAATACTTATAAAAAGATACCTCGTGCTCCTCCAGGACCTTATTGCGCTTCAGGGAAGAATCCCAAAGGCGTTAAGAATATACAGACTTAGAGTGATATCATATTCTTCATTTCCCCATACCCCACTGGAATTGGGCCTTCCCATAGTGAATTGACGTATGGTGGTATTCATCATAGATTGCTCTTTCAGAATACTAATTAGTAGGGTACTGGGAATTAGTCCAACGCTGTAGGAATAAAATCCGACTGGTAACCAGACAGACCAAATACCAACAAACAAAACGTTAAGGCAAATAACATTTTAATTTAAAATTTACAACTAACGAGTCGTTTTTTATGGGGTATCGACTTCAAATCCATGTACTTGAGATATCATTTAATTGAAATATAGATTCTGCCAAATAAACTTAGTTCAATAGATAGTTTCCTTAGATTCTTTTTTCTTCTTTTCCATAGATATATTCCTTAAATTAAAAACGATGTCGAAAATTTTTCCATTCTTGTTGCAGCATCAGATCAAGATTGTGACTTATTTATCATATAACTAATATACTCTCACGTGCTTTATTGATATTGGAAATTTAAAAATTATTTATTTCTCAATAAAAAAATAGAAATAACGCAAGAAACTAACTTTGAAATGAAATAGTTGCATTGAAATCGGTCCATCCGTTTGGGAACTACGATGCCACAGGCAGACAGACATCGACGTCTTACTAAAAAGTACACCACAGTTATTGCGTCTAGAGTGAAAAAAGAAAACTATAATAAAGATTAACAAATACTACATATATAAAAACATACTACATCTTCTTCTTCTAGTCTTCTTAATATATAAAATTCTCGTGTCACAGTTTTCGTGCCCATACTCCTCCGAAACAACCTGACCGATTTTGATGAAATTTTTTGTGCTTATTCGGTAGCTATGAGAATCGGCCAACATCTATTTTTCATCCCCCTAAATGTTAGGGGTAGTCCACCCCTAAATTTTTATTTTTTATTTTTTAGACAAAATTTTTAATTACTATTTTTTTATGATACAACGTACAAAAATACATACAATCCTAAATTTTCACCCTTCTACGATCAACCCTTATTTTTTAATAGCTATTTTAGTAATTTAATCATTTTTCATCTCCGGTCGATAACTGATCAATCGTCATTTAATAAGTTATCCCCGCCAGATATCTACAGGTGTCACTTCTGACCCAGTAAACAGCACGGAGTAGGGATGAGAACGAAGCCGGTCTTCTGTTTCTCTCACACAATTAGACTTCTCTCACTCCCTACACAGTTGTCGGCCATCGTTATTGTTTGTGCATCAAGTGTAGTAGTAACGTTGACAATTATTATTTTGCTAGCTCAGTGTAACTCTCATATTAACTATTAATCATTCCTAATCACTTCAAAACACGGAGATTTATGGCTTTAATAGGTAAACTCCAAAAATATAAATAAAAAAACGTAACAGATATTTCTTGATTATAGGGCGAAACGAAGTTCGCCGGGTCTTCTAGTATTATATAAAAACATCATTAAATTTAAACCCTTTTAGGGATTAATATATATAGAAAAAATCTTTAAATGGTACATCCTTTAAGTAAATTACGATTATGTATTTCATCATAAAAGGATTCGAGACTCATAAATACATATTAAAGACAAGTCGTCTCGGTCTTAAAATAGGATGGAATAAACAAATGACATGTAAAAGATTAAAGAAAACAAATATGGTCGTTTTAGAGTAATATAGATTTTAATAATACACACATTCTATTTTTCAAAACCTCTCAAGATCCGGGGGGAATCCAGTACGCAAAAAAAGCTCTGAAAACTATAGCCGATGCCCGATAGGCATATTCGATATTATGAAACATTTTGTCTTAAACAAAATTAGAACACCAAATATTTCATTTGGTTCTAAATAAAACAAACCAAAGCTGATGATTTTCGACGCTTAAAACTTTAATCCATTCATAAAAACCTGTTTATTATAGACATCGGTGGAAATCAAAAGGTCTAGTATTGAATCCTATAAACAAAATATTTTTAGACGCAAATTTCATCTACCTTTTTGTAAATATATTCTATGTAGAAAGGACAAAAATAATTGTTGACCTACCACCTAAAACAGCGCATTTTAAAATCAAACCTCCGAGTAAATATCAAAAGTTCATTTGCCCTTTAAGTTATTATAGTTCAAACTATTATAACTCAATTAAATTAAACTATCCAAACAGTCACCTTTAATTTAATTTATTAAATTTCGTGAAACTATTACACGTTTTTAAAATTTCAACAGATATCATTTCTTTACTTAATCTTACTTGGCCATTAAATTTCAAATCTATTTTTAAAATTAAAAGCTTTGTTTGTAAAATAATGCTTATTCTTAAGAGTAAGCGTAAAATAACTGTAAAATCTTTTTCCATGAATAACTTTATGTTAAACTCTACTTTCCTGTTCTCATCACAGGTGTAAACGTCGATACTAATCGGACGTTAAAAATGTTAATTGAAAATATTGGTTGGTTTTATGTTTAAAGTATGGCCTTCATCCATGACACGATCCGGGATTAATTTTTAAATGAATTTGAAAGAATTTAAAACGGCTAAATACCAAAGATGTCAAAAATTATGACAACAACATCTCAACGTCTAAGTTGACACTTGACAGTATGAATTAAGGCAATGCATTCATAATTGTAAAAGTTATTACTGTATGTTATATGTAGTGTTATGTCACGATAATATGGAAAAGAAACATATTTTTGTATGAAAATATTATAGAATAACACTTCAACAATTTTCTAAACTTGAATGTTTTATTTATTTTTGTAAAATTGCAGTTAAGAACCATGACTTGTATTATTTTTCTATACAAAACTAAGAAATTTTATGTTTCTTTAAAACAAAACAAGTGTAAATAAATAAAGATATATATATATATAAATACGATAGCTATCAATTAACAAATATTTTCATATGAATCTCAAAACTATGTACTTCAGTGTACATCTGCCTTAAAATAAACAAACAGCTGAATGCATCTCAGCGTATGGCATACCTGATGTTCAATTTTTTTGTGAAATATCTACAAAGTACTTGTTGCACCTACTTTCAAAAGTTGAATTTTTACCTGTTTATATAAGAAAGTGAACACGATATCTAATTAGCATGTCGTAGTATCGGTTTTAAAATATTTTATCTATTTTACCGTTAAATTAAAGGGAAGGGGAGACGGATATGTGTGTTATTTGTGATAACTTAATCCGTTACGAGTTACGATTACGATGCACCTGCAGTGCAGATACATCAAGCGCTGATTAACGTTACGCACAGAAGCTAGTGAGCGTTGTTTTATATGGAAGAAGTGAATAAGTGAAACTTGTAACGTTAGCTACGTGGAACCGTTTATTGTAATAATAATATAAAAAAAAACACAAACCTGACAACAGAGGAGTCATCAGAACTCAAAATGACTCACAAGTGGTCAGTACCATGCCGCTATTGTTTTGTTTTTCAATACCTGCTCATCCGATGAGTAAGAAACGAGGAATGCAACTTAGAAGATAGTTGTCAATAATTTCATAGTTTGGCGGGAAGATTTGTACATTTATGTGATGTTATTATGTGTTGAGGACTTGTGTTATTCGTTATTGCTATGGCGCAGAGCTCTGTAGATTCTGATAGACTGTCATCAGCGGGTATATCAACTCACAGTTCAGGAACTGCTGGTACAGTTGGCGGTTCAGTGGTTGGTGTTAGAGTGGGAGATTCAAATCTTAAGAGAGAAGATGAAGATGATTATAACTTGGGACCTCTACCACCTATGTGGGAGAAAGCATTTACACCGTCCGGAGAGAAATATTTCATTGAGTAAGTAGTTATTAAAACTTGAGTAATATTCAAATAATATGTAAGAGAAATTAGATAACTTTGCATGCTTACTGAATATAATAATTAATTCATGCATTAAAAATTCAATAGATAGAAAATGTTTACATTGCTTGTTAGTGATGTTGAACAGTGGTTTATGTTGTAGTGTTTTTGCAGAACTATAAATAGTTTCAAGAAATAATTTAGTCTTATCTGGCCATTAGATGTGTTCTCATGATATTCTTGTGTTTTTTGATCTTTGTTTTCATGCTGATTTTTATCTAACAGTACTGTTGTAACTTTCCCAGCTTTAAATTAATGTAAACTGAATAACAGTGTATGAAATAATCATTTTTAAATATGTTTACTTGTTATTTGATACAGAAACTAAGGAAATGGTAAATATCTCTTTAAGACATATCAGTTAAATTTTTCTAAATTAACAACTTTTACAGTATTTTTTTCATAATTATTAATAAATTAAACACTAAATAGTTACTAATTGTGAAAAAAATTACCTTAAAAGTCGTTAATATAGAAAATATTTCAGCTTACACTTTCTTCTGATAATCTGCTTCCAATATTGATACTCGGAATTATCCAATGGTAGTTACTCAGTTTTTCACTATCCCGACAATATATCAATAGCGCATTGCAGAATTATATGTGTTTAAAGAATTTTAAATGTTTAATATTGGCTGTAAATAAAATATATAAAGCCTTGACTTAGTAATATGTTTATTTGTTAGTATAAATACAGCCAGCATTGAAAACTGGCACAAGGTTCTAGGATGGTACAAATTGGTTTATGTATAATGTAATTGATAGGTATCTCTAGTATGAGTTATATATACAAATTCACAAAGAAATTACTTAAAATTAAGACTCATAACAAACATTTTTATGTATATAGCTGATATTTTAATAATTTTTAATATTATCCGCTTAACTGTAAAATTAGTTTCAGTCCTAATTGGCTATTGTAGGTAATTTCGCATACCAAATAACTCATTGCGACACTGTAATTTTAGTTAATTATACCATTAGTGCAGGTTTGGGTTTCACTTTATACCAAGTATTGCCAGTTATACACTTGAACAATCTTTGCACATAGTATTAACATACAGCTATGTATGGAAAATTAAAAACCTTATAGGTAGATTTATAAATCTATGGTGTTGTAAAGGTACTCTAACTATCTGTATATGTAAGAATCTTTCCAACTTTGATATTTTTTTAATGGATGCTAAATCTTCTTCTTCTACCTGGCAATTTCCTAGCTTTTAGCCAGGGTCTGCCTTACATGTGAATAGTTTTGGCTAATTGTTTTTACGACCGACTGCCTGCCTGACATCAACCCTTTTTGGGAATGTATGTTAAATAATTACATATAATATTCCATCAATTAATAATATTTATATAATCCATAATCAATGAAACAATATACTAGAAGTAAATTTCTTATTATTTTTACTCTTATCATATAATACAGTGTGTTAATGTAATCATATGCATAAATTATGTACATAAAAATTTCTCTGGGAGTTACATAAAAAATTGGAATTAACTTGCATTTCACATAAATTCCTGAATTATTTAACAATACTAAATAAATCAGATTTAGAATTTGATAAATATTATAGTAATTGATAGTATATATAAATATATATTCTATTCTAGCAATAACACTGGTACATCACATTGGTTGGACCCTAGATTAGCGAGGGTTAGGAAGCATTCTCTGGGTGAATGTGGTGAAGATGAACTGCCTTATGGCTGGGAGAGGGTTACCGATGAGAGATATGGTTCATATTACGTCGACCACATCAATAGAAGAACACAATACGAAAATCCTGTATTACAGGCTCGGAGGCTTAGAGGTGAGTCGAGTAATAATCTTCTTAAAACTGTAGTAATAGTATGATTTCTTGAAATATCTGCATTTTTAGCTGAAAAAGTTGCTGCAGAGAATGGAAATAACAATCAAGTTAATGGGCCTCAACCTGCCGGGGAGTTACGAGGGGAGAGATTCACTATCACCCTTACTAAGGGTACTCAGGTAAGATTTCTGATTTCACCTATATCTTGTCTGTAAGATGAAAATTACACTTACTAGGGGAACTAAAGTAGAATATCATAATTTTTTTTTTTTTTATGTGAAAGGTGGCAAACGAGCAAACGGCCCACTTGATGGAAGGTGGTTACCGTCGCCCATGGACATCCGCAACATTTTGTTGCGGATGCGTTGCCAACCTTGTTTTTTGGGGATAGGGAGGGGTGGGAATAAGGAAATGAAAGGAAAGGGTAGGAATAGGGAAAGGGCAACCGGCTCTCTCACTCATCAGACGAAACGCAGCCAGTAAAGGCTACTTCACGCCGATCTTCTGTGAGAGGGTGGTACTTCCCCGGTCGAGCCAGCCCATGTTCGAGCTGTAGTAACTCACCACAGCTAGGCTCTACCACCTTCAAAATTATATAATTAACTGACACCTCTTCTGTATGTAAATAAATTATTGACCAGTTTTTACTTAAGAAAACTATTGTTTTTACTCTATTTGTTAAACAATATGTTCAGTAATTATTTAGAAGGATGTAAAAGTTGTTGGTTTTCAAATTAAATCCTCTTATTCCAGGGTCTTGGCTTCACTTTAATTGGCGCTGAAGGTACACCTGAAACAAATGGATACTTACAAATCCGGAGTATTGTTCATAACAGCCCAGCTTGGATTGATGGTAATTACTACAGAAAATATTATTAATATTGGATTATTCAACTATTTGGAGTATATATTACATATTAAAACAACTTAATATTATAATTGTTGTCCCAAGTAGGACATATTGATGGAAATGCCTATGTATATGGTAATGTTTATACTTTATAAATGTTTATTATTATGTTACTAGTTTAAGTTTCCTATGTAAGTGGACTTTGTTCTTGATGGGAAATAAATCATCTCTAAACCTAAACCTAATGTTTTGTCTCTTTCTATTCATATGAAGCTAATCTTCCATCTCTCTCCCACCAGGTGGTCTTCGGCCAGGTGACGTGGTGGTGGGTGTTGGATCCAGACTAGTCCGTGGTCTGACCCACGCTCAAGTAGCGCAGATCTTCCAATCAATACCAGCCGGAACTGACGTCACACTACAAGTCGTTAGAGGTCAATGAAGTTACTTATAATATTTAATTTGCATCTGCTATTATATCTATTAATAATTTAGAGTTTATTTAACATAAACAAACATAGTAAGAAAGTTATAAGCCTAATAATGAGTTCATATGAAGTAAAAAAAATATATGTATTGACAGAAAGTCAAAGACAAAATTTATTTAGTATAGTATAGAAACTATACATGAAAATTATCACTTGAAACTTTCATGATCATGTTTCTGAAGAATAATTTGCAAAATTAATAACCAATTCAAATTACAACACATGACATACACTAAGAAATATTTTTATATTACATAATATTATTCTTTTTTCCAGCATACTTAAGTCACATTACATAAACTAAACAATATCCTATTTTTCCCAGGTTACCCACTATCATTTGATTCAGAGGACCCTAACACTCGTGTGTTGTCAACCCTAGCGGTGGATGCCAACCCTACCACACCTGATGCTGTGGCCATGCAACAACTAACAAGAGCACTCAGAACTAGGTAAATATTATATAATAATACATATATACCTACTAAACAAGTCGTTTTTAATAATACTTGTTTTATAATGGATCAATATAATATTATTGGCTTATAATAAAAATGTATATAATGAATCTTTTCTGCATATTTATACTTAATGCAAAAATTATGCACTTATACAAAAAGCAGCAACATTAATTAAGACAAAATATCTGTAAAACAATCAAATAACAGTATTTAAACAAAAATTTACAAGTTAGAACTTTTAATTATTATGTCTACATTAAACAAAGTTGTATAAAAAAGCTGAATAATATATTTAATTCTTGTCCTTTAAATAAAATAAACCTTAAAAATACACAAACATATACAGGGTGACTGGTGAATTACTATCAATATTTTAGGAGAATACTCGGTACATGATTCTCATTCGAATTATGTAAAAAAAATAGGCACTTAATTTTTGACCAAATTTCCGTATAAATAAATAAAGTGTTGACACGTTCCAAGTGTTCCAAGTGTGGACGCGTGCGGCGGCGTGCTGATACAACACCACGCCCCGCTCGCGTATGTGTGAGTGTGTGTGTATATGTGTGTAGGGTGTTCATACGATGCGTAATTAATTACATAACTTTTGGTTAACTTTACTTAGAAGTTTATTAATATTTATTTTATATTAATTTTTATTTTGTCATATATGATCGTCAAATATCACGTCCTCAAGTATCGATAGTAATTCACCAGTCACCCTGTATACATTAGTAATACATATAATTTGTCTGACTCATAATTATAATATTCCAGGTTTAACCTGGATTCCCCGAGTGATGGTCAGAGTCGAGATGAGCCGGACACCTCAGTTCCGGATCACAGTCCCAGTCAGAGGCGGCTCATGTCTCGCTCCTTCGACCTGGACGAGCTCAACAATGAGACAAGCGCTGTACCTCCCAGGTGTCCGTCAGCTGATCACCTGCTTAGCTTAGTTACAGGTATGATAATATACATGTATTTTTATGTTCTAGAACATTCTATATATTCCTACTAATATCATAAATGTGAAAGTAACTCTGTCTGTCTGTTTGTCTGTTACGCTTTCACGTCTAAACTACTGAACTGATTTTAATGAAATTTGGTACAGAGATAGAGTTGACCTTGAGAAAGAATATAAGATAGTTTTTATCCCAGACTTTTGAAAGGTTCTCTTGGAAACGCGATATAAGCTAACTCCAAGCGGGCGAAGCTGCGGGCAGAAAGCTAGTGTATATATAAAGTCATTACTGCTCAAAAATTTAGGCTTGACCTTGCAATAATTATAAAAAAAGTATTATCATTAATAATAAACTACATTTATTGTTAATCTTGAAATAAACTTTAGGATGCCTTCATATTATTAAAACAGTGGTAAAGGCACATTAATAACTTTGTAGATGTATTTAATGAAGAACTAATATTATTTGTTTATATTTATAGATCAACATCGCAATAACAATGTATCAAACGAGCCGGGGAGGGAACTGGAAGTGACTCTACGGCGAGGAGCGGCCGGGTTTGGATTCACCATCGCTGACAGTGTACACGGACAGAAAGTTAAAAAGGTTACTTACTATATATGTATAATGATAGCAACATTCATAAAAAATACCTCAAATGTTAAATATTACTAAATTTAATTAAAGAAATTAAAGTATTCATTAATTTATTGAATATATGAAATACTTATAGAAAATTTGTCAAACACAAAAATAAGTATGTAATAATAATATAGAAGACCCTCTTATATGTATAGCTAGCATATTGCTAGTATTTCTTTAAGGTAAGCTTTTAATAACTATATTTTCGACTTCTATAGTTATTTTCTCTAATACTTGATTTTTCCAGGTGTTGGACCGCAGCCGCTGTGCAGGTCTTCGTGAGGGAGACTTGTTATTGACTATAGGGGATAATGACGTCAGACACGCACCACACCAACACGTTGTACAGGTGAGGACAAATATACATACATACAGACAGTTAAACTATTAAATTAACTGAACCCTACTAATATTATAAATGCGAAAGTAATTATGTCTGTCTGTTACTCTTTCACGTCTAAACCACTGAACTAATTTTAATGAAATTTGGTACAGACATAGAGTTGACCTTGAGAAAGAACATAGGATAGTTTTAATCCCAGACTTTTAAAGGGTTCTCTTGGACACGCGATATAACCGAACTCCACGCGGGCGAAGCTGCGGGCGGAAAGCTAGCATATATATGAAAAATACGTCAAGAAATGCATAAAATATGTATATTATATAAGAATTACATATAAAAACTTATAAACTACACCTAAGACTACATGATTGACCCAATGTTGGGATAGCAATACCATTCCATAGCTTGTGTGGTATCAGGAATCTTCTGGTTCACACGGCTTGGTGATCGTTCCGCGGAGTCAGCGGCGTCACTGGTTATATGATATTTTATCCATACAAAATCGATCATTAAATTTTTACCATGTTGCACGTACATAACATGTTTTAATGTGTAATACTAATTTATTTTCTTACTGTCAATATGTTAAATGAGGCGAACGGAAACGCGGGTATCAGTAGTTCAGTATAAAGAATTTGTACATGGATGATTATAATTCATATTAAATGGTAAACAGATTATAAATGAAGTATATTTTTCCAGGTCCTCAAAGACTGTCCAGCTATGTTGGAGACGACGTTAAGGGTTTGGAGACGAAACACTATCACGAGAGCTCCACGAAGTAGATCCGCCACAAGAGTTCAAACAAGTACGTTTATTATACAGGGTGACTGGTGAATTACTATCGATACTTGAGGACGTGATATTTGACGATCATATATGACAAAATAAAAATGAATATAACATAAATATTAATAAACTTCTAAGTAAAGTTAACCAAAAGTTGTGTAATTAATTACGCATCGTGTGAACACCCTACAGATTAGGTATACACACACACTCACACATACACGTGCGGCGGCGTGGTGTTGTGTCAGCACGCCGCCGCACGCGTCCACACTTGGAACACTTGGAACGTGTCAACACTTTATTTATTTATACGGAAATTTTGTCAAAAATTAAGTGCCTATTTTTTTACATAATTCGAATGAGAATCATGTACCGAGTATTCTCCTTAAATATTGATAGTAATTCACCAGTCACCCTGTATATGGACCTATAATATATTAGCTAAATCTCTCTACAACCTACTAAAAGACATAGGCCTGTCCAGGACTAACATCAATTCATTCTTATAAACTACTTTGAAGGCAGCCCTAGTAGGGTCTTTTCAAATTTGGTTAGGTAGAGAGAAGAGCTTGGACGGTGGAGGTGAGCGTATAACGCGCGTTAGATAGGGACGTCTTAAACATATAGATAGGTGGTAAGTCCCAGTCACTATTCAAGCTTCTCTACCTGTAACAATGGACCCGAATGATGAGAAGTTTTCTATCACTTTTGCTTGGACATTTAGTTTGGATATGAAATTTTCTTCATACATAAGTAATTAAACGTATTCTTCATACATAAGTAATTAAACGTATTTAACGTATTTTTTTATCATAACTTTTAAATACATGTATATCCTTAATTTTCAGCCACTACAAATAACAACCAACTCGGCAGAAGTAAAACACCAACAGCCGAGCAGTTGAGGTCTCAGCCTACCTTACACACGGAAACTGATATAAGAGATATACAAAACGGAATGGATTCAGGTATATAAAAAAGACATAATTTATAAATTTTTCATTATAAATAGTGTTCATGTAACTCATTAAATCATTCACAGTAGAAGCTACTTATGCGGTCCCAACCCACAAAAACCGGGATAGAGAGAGTATAATGGAGCGGCGTCGTAGAAGTAGCACCCCCGGAGCTAGACTGACATTACCAGCCGTTACCCAAGTTACCCCTATTACCCCTGTTACCCCCTGGAACGAATACCAAGAATGGCAACATCCATGGAACAGGGGAACGGACAACACTAATATTATACGCAACTGGGCTGAGAATAACCAAAAATGGGATGAGAATCAGAAGTGGGATGGAAATAATACTGAATATATTGGAAGGGTAGAGGGTAACGGGTGGGAGGGGAACGGGGAGAGGTGGAACAATAACTGGGGGGAAGTCCCTACACCCACCGTACATGTGGATATGAACGCTGGGTACTGGAGGGGAAACGCGAGTGTAGCTGACAGTAGCGATAATGGAGGTAATATTAGTTCCATAATTCATTTCAATCATATATACATAATAGAAACACAATCATATCGTAGTTCGTAGATCTTCATTATTGTAGCCTCATTTAAAAGTACTATTACGTTTTGAAGTATATAAGGTTGTGTTATTGTTAATGGTTTAAATATTCCGTTAAGTCTTCAAAAATGTATGACCAACCACACAATATTTTACGATATAAATTCAAGTTTAATTATTCATATTTACTAAAGATTACTAATTACCAAGAAAATACAACATATTAATTAATTATCGTTTCTGATGAATTATGTTTGATGATTATTTTCTTTGTACCAGGGTTCCCGGAGGACGGTCTCTTGCCCTCCCCCGCGGGTTGTCCGCTTGGAACGTCACCCGCCAGGCCGGGGCCTAGCTCGCACTCACCAGACAACTCTACGGGTGAGGAATTATATACTTTAAAATGTATTGCGATTATAAATCTTAAGAAAATACCATTAAAGTAGTTTTAACATTTCTAGCTGCAATTTAATTATGTATGATATTATACTAACACATAAATATAAGTAATAATTTCGGATTACTACACGTTATTTTATTATATTTAATCATTAACATTACTATCTCATCTGTCCGTGATCACGGTTTCTTCAAAGTTACAGAAACGTCGGAAGTATGTAATTTTAAAAAATAATGAAATAACGCGTAGTAATACGAAAATATTAGTTTCATTTACTCGTGAAAGTCTAAGACATCATGATACCCACATATATTATTACTATATGTTTGTATATATGTTTAATATTAATTCTATCTCCTACTAATTCCAGGTCGTCTCCGGTCTCATTCTCCCTCCACAGCGAGCGCCACAGACCGTCTTCTATCTTCGTCCCCCTCCAGACTTCAAAGCCAGTCCCCTTCAAACCATTCCAGCAGCAGTCGTGTTAAAGGATCTCCCTTACGGTATATACATTACTTACAATTATTGATATCTAAAAAACAGTGTATGTGGAGAGTTTTATGTAAACATATATTTAATATTACTATTAACTAACATGTAATAAATTTTGTGCCAAACTTCGTCCTGTAGTATAAATATGGACTATGTATAGTGATAAACTGTTTCCTTTGGTATCGATATATACTTTTTTTAATTGAAAGCTTAGTTCAATAAAATTGATATCTTAATTCATCAATTTTATGCAAATCTTGGTTCGTTATCTTATTTCAGTTTGATTTATGTGGGATTATTATTATCTTCTTATAATTTTGGTATTTTTTTATTTATAAATATTTTACGTCTTAAGCTGCTATAGGAGATGCAGACCTATTACTATTGTTATATATAAGTAAGTCATTTATTAAATTGAGTCCGTGTTTTGAAAAGCTAATTTTTTGTATTCGTATTGTAAATACCAAATTGTATTAATTACCCTCTTTTTGTTACGTAGACAGCATATCATATTTAAACTTCCTTCATTAAAAATGCTATTGAGTGTTCCCTTAGGTTTTAAAACTCTTGTAATTATCGTTGATATCTAGCTGCTAATAAAAAAACATTAGACAAAACAACATATACAGGGTGACTGGTGAATTACTATCGATACTTGAGGACGTGATATTTGACGATCATATATGACAAAATAAAAATTAATATAACATAAATATTAATAAACCTCTAAGTAAAGTTAACCAAAAGTTATGTAATTAATTACGCATCGTGTGAACACCCTACAGATTAGGTATACACACACACTCACACATACGCGTGTGGCGGCGTGGTGTTGTATCAGCACGCCGTCGCACGCGTCCACACTTGGAACACTTGGAACGTGTCAACACTTTATTTATTTATACGGAAATTTTGTCTAAAAATTAAGTGCCTATTTTTTTTACATAATTCGAATGAGAATCATGTACCGAGTATTCTCCTTAAATATTTATAGTAATTCACCAGTCACCCTGTATATATTAGTTTAATAAAATATATACAACCAAAGTTATCGCCGAACTCTGTGTTATAAAGGTAAAATAAAAACTCTTATATACTATTCCGCCACCTATCGAATACAAGATTTATGCTACAACATACCTAAATGTAACAATCATATACATACACTATACAGCCATCCTAGATCACAAATATCCAAATTTTCCACTAGATAATAACTGTAAGCTAGATTCTATATATTATATTTTATAAGTTATTTAAACTACTATTCCTATTTCACAGTCTCCGTGGAAACTCCCCAGCACATTCTCCTCGATTCGAGGGTGAAGCGCCCCCAGCGTTATACGTCGCCAGTTACCCTCAGGTATTAAAAGATTATTATTTTATACATTACTTAGAGAATAACAATATTGAAATCAATATATTGCACACATACATACCTCATCATATGACTGAATGTTATATCAAAGAGAAATTGACCATTGGTTGAAAATTTTGCTGATAATAAAACATTGAGTTATACCTGAAAAAATATAATAATTTTCTATTAAACGTTCATATTATTGAAGAATTAAATATTAGTCCAACATCATTCTATAAAATTTTTATTTGAAGCTATATTCATAACAAAACTTCCTTGTGATGTTTAGATTCATGGTGAACCTAAAATGTTTTGAATACTACTAATATTTTATACGAAAGTTTGTGAGTGTGTGTGTATGTTTGTTACTTCTTCACGCTCAAACGGCTGAACCGATTTTGATAAAATTTTGTATACAGGGAGCTGACGTCCAGGAATGACACTAGGCTACTTTACATCCCGGAAATCCGCGGGTAATACCGCGGGGCGCAGCTAGTTAGAAATAAATTTCAAGGCTATTACTAATCTAATTTCCAGGTGGAGGCAGGTGGCAGCACCGACCCGGAAGCGGATGTCCTGGTCCGTCTGGCTCGCAGCTCCGCTGGTTTTGGCTTTAGAATAGTAGGAGGAACGGAAGACGGCAGCAGAGTCGCTGTAGGATATGTTGTACCAGGTCATAATAAAATGGTTTTATAGGGCTTAGATATAAGTATTCACATCTCGTCTGAATATCATGGTTGCTGTAAACTAAACGAAACCTCGGGTATATTATTAAAATGAGGCACGAAATATCTTAGCATTCAATGGATTGACGGTGAGGTTGTCGGGTCCATAGTTGTAGAGAGAGGAGCTTCAACAGTGACTGGGACTTACGACCCAGGTGTAGGTTTAAAGGACCCCTATCTAACGCGCGTTAAAGGCTCACCTCCACTGTCCATGCTCCTCTCTCTACCTAACCAAATTTGAAAAAACCTACTAGGACAGCCTTCGACGCACGTTTCAAAAATGAATTGATATTAGTTCGTAGTAATCCAAAAATATTAGTTTCGTTTAAATTCGAGTATTATTACAATTATCGCCATAATAAGAATGATAAATAAATATTACTTACAGGGGGTCCAGCCGATGGTTTGCTTCGACCCGGTGACCTATTGACCTCTGTTGATGGGGTCCCACTTGCTGGGGCCACGCACGCCTTAGCAGTGGCGTACGTCTGCCAAGCCGCTTCTAGGGGTCATGTGAGTGATTACAGTTTAATACTATTGACTTTCCTTGAATATGTATATCACATTTTCGAAACCTATAAGAAAACGCCACTAACTAAGAGAACTTTACAAATATAAGGTTGTAATATTAGCAATATAATTACATGGTTGGTACTACTGTGTTTATTTTGTGAATCTTGTCGCTCTGTTTGTCGGTAGAAAAATATGTTTACCTACTTTTAGTTATGGCAAGGAATACATGTATTTATTGTTCAAAATATTATATGATGTGTATATTATAACAGGTTACGCTCGGCGTTAGACACAATCGCGCTGACATACAGGCGTTAGGTCTACCCGCGATACCGACACAACCATTACTAGCGTGAGTCTTAATACTATATAAATAAGGTCTAAAATAAAAACATCAGTTTAATGAAAATAGTGAATAAATCAAGTCAAATATCGTACAATCAAATCACCAAAAGAATATCACAAACATTTCATATGGAATCAATCATTATCATAGATTTGAAAACTTATCACTAATGATATCATTAATATCATTATCATGTTACACTCCAGCGAGCCTCTGCACGGCCCCACATACAACATCCTGCACCCGGCGCCGTTCTACTCTTCCAACACAGCCATGTTCGTCTATCATTGAGTATTTGCATGTCTCTATCATAATATTTCAATATCACCCTATTTTTAACACCGTTATATTAAAATCAGTCTGAACCTTATTTTTCACGCCCTGTATATAAAATTTCAGTTTATTTTAGCGTATTTTATTAAATGTATGGCTTATTATATATTTATTTTTGTCACTACCAGTCCTAGGTATGGGGTTCAATATGACACGAACGCTGGTTGGTGTTCGACTCCGTATGACGTCACAGTTACCAGGAATGACGGAGAGGGTTTCGGGTTTGTGGTCATATCGTCCACAAATAAAGCTACCAGTACTATAGGTAAGATAATTTAAAAATATTTATTATTCACATAAAATCAGAATAACTTTGATATGTAAAATATTACCTATCAACTATGCTATATTAGTCATAAACTATTTGACCATACAAAAAAATATCAAATAAGTGTATTCAGGTCTTTTCGGAAATCTTGTTCATATTCGAGACCTAGTTAAGGTATACAGGGTGACTGGTGAATTACTATCGATATTTGAGGACGTGATATTTGACGATCATATATGATAAAATAAAAATTAATATAACATAAATATTAATAAACTTCTAAGTAAAGTTAACCAAAAGTTGTGTAATTAATTACGCATCGTGTGAACACCCTAGGGATTAGGTATACACACACACTCACACACACGCGGCGGGGGCGTGGTTTTGTATCAGCACGCCGCCGCACGCGTCCACACTTGGAACACTTGGAACGTATCCACACTTTATTTATTTATACGGAAATTTGATCAAAAATTAAGTACCTATTTTTTTTACATAATTCGAATGAGAATCATGTACCGAGTATTCTCCTTAAATATTGATAGTAATTCACCAGTCACCCTGTATATCTAGGTAAGACTTCGCAATGTGGCCTGTTAAAAATTGTAGCCTTACATATTTAATCCCAATCAATTTTGTTATTATAATATTTGGTGTCACAAAACAGTTAATTGTTCAGATATCTACTTTTAATCAAAATGTAAATTTACTTAAGATACAGCTCTTGAAAGATCAATGATTTTCAAAAAATATTGCTACAGGACCCTTTCTTAATCAGAGATTCTAAAATCTGAATATATATTGCTGTACAAATTAAAAGCAATTTAGAAATATCCTTCCATATTATTTCCCTATATAAAATAATATTAATTATTACCTATTGTGTACAATTTAGAAATATTCTTCCATATTATTTCCCTATATAAAATAATATTAATTATTACCTATTGTGTATCTACCCTCAGGTCAATTAATTCCCAACTCACCAGCGGCTCGTTGTGGTCGTCTTCGTGTAGGGGACACCATTGTGGCAATAAATGGGACAGCGGTCCGCGCCCTGCCACACCCTGAGGTCGTGTCACTCATCAAACGGTCCGGGGCAGCAGTCACATTGACCGTAGCCCCGCCTGACTTACGACACGACTGATATATATACAAGCTTTAACAGCTGAACGTTGATTATATACAACTATCAATCCATATCTTATATAAATGGGAAGAAATTTACTACAAATACTACTTATATTTTATATATTAAATGTATGGGGTAAAAATCTCGTTAAATTGACCATATATGTACCTATACAATGATTTTTCTTCAATTAGAATTGTTACTATCGAACTTTGGAGTCACTTGTGAATTTATGTGAACTTGTCAACAAAACAAAATATTAAATATTTTTATATGTAATTTAAATTATATGTAATTATTTTCACAATTTGTCATTTAAATCAAAGTAATTGAATTAAAACAAACACAAATATGGAATATAATACCAATGCCTAATTCCTTTTCAGTGCTCACAAAAGCTTGATGATAAACTTGTACAAGTTTTGCCACTGTCTTTTGCCTAGGGTATTGCATCCGATAGCTTTAATTTAATATCAAATGTATTGTTAAGTAAGGAATAGAGTACTTTAGCCTTAAGAAAAAAGTTTCAGAATCTACATAGAATAATGTTCATTAACTTCCAATTTACCGTCCAAATTTTCTATATATGTACAATGAAGTTAAAATACACAATAACCAACTTCAATTGTTTTATATGTAGGTATTTGCTCAAGATCTGTTTAATTCAGTTAAGAACAGAAAATCAGATCTTATTGTATATATAATTATTATGCATAATAATTGTTGTAGCATTAAAATATTAAATATTGTTACTTTAATTATCACTGATGAAATGTTAATTAAAGAATGCACTTAAAAATACTTTATATATAAGAAAATATATGTTAGATTGTTAAATGATTATTTTTATACTATCAGTAAGGATTTTAAATGTATGAAAACAATATTAGAATAAAAGGAACCACCGATGGAGTGTTAAGTTATAATAATTGATAAATATAAAAATTACTTTAAGATAACCATGCCTGGTAAAATCCTTCTTGCCTTACAATACTAACGCCCAAAGAGTGCTTGGATTTTTTGTCCTGTCTTTGTACCGCGTATTTAAATCACTATATTCTTAATATAGTATGTTAAAATTAGTCTAGTTAAGATTTTATAGAAAAATTGTAATGTGCCTTGTAATTAAGTACATATTGTATATTTTATGACGTCATTAAATTGATAATACTATCAATTGATGTTAAATTAAGTTTTATACTCTGCAGTGGCAATTTTTTTTTATATAACAGTTGTTTATAAATTATATTGTAGTTAAAGGATGGTGTAAATGCATTTAAGTAATGCTCTAATTATTCTCATAAATATTAGTTGTCAGAAATGATCATTATGATTTAATTTAAAAATAAATTCTGGTACACTACTAAATGAAACTGATTAAAATCTATTGTAAAAAATAATAATAAAGACTAATATGATTATATTCATGGAGGTTGAAGGAAAATGTATATACATATATTTTCATAGAATAAAACTGAAATTTAGTAATTTTAATGCAAATAAGTTTCTATAACTTGCATTTGTACCATTAATTTGACAATAATATAATATAAACTCAACGATCACATTAAATAAGTAAATACACATATTTTTATAATGTATTGTTGTTTTATTTTCATAAACAGATAAGTCCTAACTAATTATTTGTATATTTAACTTGACGGTGGTACAGCGACTTGCATGATCCAATCTACGTAAGCGTCGATTCTTGTGAAGACATCAGGATAGTTCTGTGACCCGCATCCCTTGTGGTTGGAGGCCACTCCTATAAGAACACCACCGGACACAAGCGGAGCACCCATATCGCCCGTACAAACGCCAGAGTTTACCGCATTAGCGCATATAACAGCTGAAACATAACATATAAATTTTACTAATTGTCACACTTCACTTTGCGTTGCGTAATGGCGTAGCGTATTCGTCGCATTTGTCCAAATATTTGTACGTAATCCAAATTGCGCAAACATAACATCCACACTTGGCATGCAAACAGCAAATAAAACCAGATAATGAAATGAAATATGTTTGTAATTTAAATCAATTGAATTTAACTAGCAATGTCAACCTGTTCTCAATTCTCATATTCAACTTTTATAGTTGGGGATGATGAATTTTCTCCATCTTGATGTTCGTATTCTGTCATAATGGTTTCTTCATAAATCATATTATTAATTTTAATCATCATTAAATCCCTTCGGTTTACTGGTAATCTACGCAGCTTCTTTGCCATTAGTTTTCCGAAGATATTGCATTCATCATCATCATCTTCTAATTGCCGTTTTGATGCTGTTTCGAGAATCTTAAATGCTTTATCCATTTGGTTTTTAACTTGTACAAGTTCAGGTGGATTCTGCTGTCTTCTTCTGGTTGTTGTCATTGTTTCCTGTTGTGACGTTGAATAGTAATTATTAAAACAAAAACTACAACTGCTTATGATTAAGTTAAACACTAGATGGTGCCTGCGGCTTCGCCCGCGTCCTATCGTTGTAGCTTTAGTTCGTTCACGCGGAATTCGGTTAAAGTTATTCCCGCGAGAACTATTAAATTTGACGGGATATAATATAGCCTATGTTTTAATCCAACGTAAGCTATCTCCATTTAAAATTTTAGCCAAATCAGTTCAGTCGTTACGCGGTGAAAAAGCAAGAAACATCCAAACATCCCAACTTCAAACTTTCACATTTTTAATATTAGTATAGATATATGTACCTAGATAGTTTAGATTTAAGTCGTTTATGTAATTGAAGTAAAATAAATATAGACAAAAAGAAACAACTTGTTCAAATACATACATACTTGAGAATTTAAAGATGGCTGGCATGTATACAGTGACGCTAGGAAACTATCCATAAGTTCAAATGCAAACCATGTCGGTTTATAAACATCAGAACTACCAACTCCTGATGTTTCATATTTATTAATTTTAGTCTTGTAGCCCCTGTATGCAGACATTAATGATTCTCTCTTTTTCTTTAATTCCTTTATTGTCCCTGGAAATCCCAATTCCTTCTTTATTACACACCATGCGTCGTTGACTTTCGTTTTGTTTCTGTGGGACACATTTTGGGGATCCCATATACACGGATGCATTTGGTACAATTCCAAAAATCTCAATACAGCATCATTAGTCCAATCCATTTTGCTGAGCACCGATTAAGAATATGCAAGCAGTGAACACGTCTTACACGTTGCTGTCGCTCACACAAATGAGTGAGCTATGTGTGGACGGTATGTTTAGTATATTTGACGTATTTGCTTTTCATCTTTGATAAACAACCGACAAGCGGAGGGATCGGCGTTTTCACTTATTTGTGTATGTGTCTTATTTGTGCAAATATGTCAAATGAAGACGAATAAATCCTCCACATGGTCTTATTTTGGTCGAACATAACAAATACGCGAATACGCAACGCCAAGTGCCATCTTAACACTGACACAAAATATGTCAATGTGACAAGTTTTTTTAGCCGTATTGAAATATACGTCATTTGTTAACATTTTACAGACAATGAAAGCGCGTCAGGAACGATTCCGACATATTTTAAAAGAGAATATTTTAATCGAAAATTACCAATTTTACAAAGAAATATATACATACATATTAAAACTCGGCAGTTATTAGTCACATATCTGCAGGTATAACATACACAACTACATAAATTGTATCATAGCTCTGTTAAATAATCTCTTATGTTACGATGTTATGAAAGATGTCTTTATTAAAAAATATTCTTGTATATTAAGCTTAATTCACTCAATTATAGTACACAATAATAAACTTTAATATCCTCATAATATAAACAGTCTTATCTTTCTTGCAACATTACTTACTTTCATTAATTTTAATATCAGCATCGTCGGCGTAGATCTGCTGACATTGTTCCAAAGGAACTGTGGTCAAGGTGATTGCCATGAGTGAGTTATGGATGGGGCCTTGTTCCTAATAAAGTTGAAAAAAAAATTAACATGCTTATATACAGCAATTGAATTATGAATCTAATGTTTTCGATAAGTATAATAATACTCACTGATTCAAATCCCCAACTAACAACAGTAGCTGGTATTCCATTTGGGATGATAATATTTTTAGGAGGCAGGTACATAATGTTGAGACTGCCACTTAATCTGAAAATTTCCTGAAGAATCACGACCGCGATGTCGTTCTCACGAGGAGTTTCAACAAATTGAGGATGTTTAACGACTTCTCTTATGGAAACCACTTGTCCGCCGTTCATACTATAAGTCGAACCGCCCCTAATACGGAAATTGGGTAAAGTGGCACCCCTGGAAATAAAAATTAAAATTTAGATAAGTACCTAGATTTTTAGATCGATTTATTGTTCAATCAAAAAAGTTTTGTTGTTGAAAAGAAAAATTGTGGGTTGATTGATCTTCATGAATATCTACAAAAAAGGATTTAAAATCTTAATTTGAATATACAGATTACAGACAATTTTAAAATTAAAAACATACTATTAGTTTCTATTCACATATAAGTATAGGTACATGTATATTTTCGCAATGAGTATTTCGAACATCATGACGTTTATCATATTAACATTATATATTAGTAGCGTATTAACTTACGTAAAACAAAAAGCTGATGTAATAACATGCCAAGAAGATACTATAGTTCCAGCACATCTTTGCACCCAAAGGTCAGGTCTAGGGTAGTAGTACACGAAGGCGGATATATACGGGTATTGTTCCACGGGAACGGGTGTACCACCAGCTATACGAGGCTGAACTATATCAACAGCAGCTGATACTGAATGTGACAGAAATAAACACAGATTATATTATATCCCTACTTATATTATAAATGCGAAAGTAACTCTGTCTGTCTGTCTGTCTGTCTGTCTGTTACGCTTTCACTGAACTGATTTAAATAAAATTTATACAGAGATAGAGTTGACCTTGAGAAAGAACATAGGATAGTTTTTATCCCAGACTTTTGAAAGGTTCTCTTGGAAACGCGATATAACCCAAATCCACAGGAACGAAGCTGCTGGCGGAAAGCTAGTTATGTTATAAATATTCTCCATGTGAGCGTAAGCCTTTAAACAGCAGTGGGCTCTGATAGGCTGATGATGATAATATATGTATCAAAGTATTGTAGGTACTTAGATTGATAATATATATTTGATTTTTCTTTAAACATTTTGATTTAAAAGAATATTTAAACATACTTATATAAAACAATTTGATTTGGCGAACGAAAATGCTATTATAATACTCGTACATATAAATTATGAATGATTCCATCAAATCTATTCTTAAATTACTGTATACTAATAAAAAGTTAAACTTCGGAATAATAGATATAAATTACTGAGCACATTTGTTATTCAACGAATAGTTATTCGTAGTTAAGTCTACTAATTAAATTAAATCACTCATAAGTCACGTCTTTACATGTTAGTAATCTGATCTTAAAGAGGAAAAGATGTAAGGGTTTATATATTTAAAGAATTTTTCAGCTAAATTTAGAACAGGTTTAATTGAATGCATTTTTTTACATTGACAATAATAGTCAATAGTGTAATATTGCAAATTAAAAGTTTCAAGATTGTGTATTTGTAAACTTACCAGCGAATGTAAAGCAGACCGCTACCAATAAGATTTTGAAAACCATGATGCTTTGATCTACGGTACAGAGTTGCAACCTACTTTCTAAATTTGCATCAACCTTTATATATAAGTTTTAAAATGTCTCCCATATCTTATTTTTTTATACAGCATGTTCAAAATTCACGTCATTCGTTTTCGTTATGAAGAGTATTTTGTTCTTTCATCGTCATCATCAGCCCATGAGATCCCACTGCTGAACAAAGGCCTCTTCTCACATGAATAATATTTGAGCATTACAACCTAATCACAACGCTTGCTCAAGATGAATTGGTTATTTCAAACTTATAAGTGGAAATTACAAGTCCAATTTTCCTCACGATGTTATCCTTCACCATCAGTCAATGGTGTCTAAACACTCTTAGAAAGTACCTATATATGACTTGGAAAAATCACATAGTAACTTGCCAGGTTTCGAAACCGGCACCCTCATGCTTGGAGGCGGGCCTTTAACCACTAAGCCACCACGATCCCTTTCTTTTATTTGGTAACAAAAAAATATATATTAATGAATAAAATAACCAGCTTAAGCTATTAAGCACGTAATAAGTGAAATATTTCTAAAGATGGAACCAGAATATATTCTTTAATTATCAGAGAATAGCCTCTAAATTCTCCATCAATGAAACTGTAGCTTTGAATGAATTCTTAATTTCATTATGTTACCATACTTTTGAAAAGTGTTATACGATTAATATTTATTAAAAGAAATACTGAATATATCATACTCCTTCAGTGTCTTATAAATGTGTATTAAAATAATCATGCTGTATATTGAAAATGAGAGCTACTAAGATAATTGGTACTGTCAATTATGCACGTACATTTTATCTGTTTATTAAAAAATCCGAAAGGATTACAAAGATAATCTTTCATTGATTTATGTTGTGTGCCCAGTCAATAGACCTATTTATATCAATTGGCATCGATAAATCGAATCACATAATCCTTCAATACAATATGTATATTGAATTTAAATTCTATTACAATAAAGTTTACTGAAATTTGAAACTGACGTTTGTAAATAAAAATATTTAAAAAAAAAGCATCACGGGACGTAAGATACATATAATATTATTGATAAAGTGTTAATATTGATATTATTATTAAAAGTTTGGGAAACTCGTTTGAATAATTTTATTTCATAAGCAGGTAAAAAACTCTTCGAATTAAATTAAAAAGTTAGTCTTTGTAGACATCTAAAAAGATTAAACTCGATTTTACATACTACATTTTCGATTTTATGCAGTGGCAGCTTGAACATGGGCTGGCTCGACCCTAAAAGTGGGTGGTACTTGGTTACTATGGATCTCACAGAAAATCGGGGTGAAGTAGTCTTTAATCGCTGTGTATCGCCTAATTCGTGAGAGCTCCGGTTGCCATTTCCCTGTTCCACCCTTTCCCTTTCCTTTCCTTCTTCCGTAATCAAGGTCAGCAACGAATCCACAAAGTTGTGTTGCGGATGTCCATGAGCTACCGTAACCTCCATCTAGTAGGCTGACTGCTCGTTTGCCGCCTTTCATGTAAAAAAAAAAACAAAATTAGGTTTAATGTATAAAAAAAACGTGAGCAAAATTCGTTCAATAAATACTTTTTTTACATTTTCCATACATATTACATTTTATCATTATAAATTTAAGTTAAATTTACGTATGTTGCACAATAATTTAAGTAACTTATAATTGAATAAGAAGTACAAACTCTTTTAAAGCCTCTTTATTCATATAGTCTTTTACAAATTCTGTAATGACATTGAAAACTACCTAATATTCTAGTAAACGACATCAAAATTTCTCGTAAACATTTTTAAATCTCAGTACGATGGGTAATAGTAATTTGAGAGGATTTTCATACAGTTTCAAAGACAACGACGATTCCTTTAACAAAACAAAAGTAAACCGAAGAGCTCCTAAAAGAAAACAGAAAAATAACAATTCTGTTAAAAGAAGATACAAAGCCCAAAACCCTCGATCTATATCTATAGCGAAAATTAAACCATCTCGGACAGTTTATAACACACTTAAAGATTTAATTGATGAGAAAACGCCTGTGATGATAGCGTTTATAACATCAAGTTCAGAATGTCCGTTGCGACTTGAGAAAAAGTCACAAAAATGCATATCGGAACAACGTAATCGTTTTTATCCACACGAGAAATCGCTCCGTGAACTGAATTCATTTCCTTGTGCCACATTTTGTCAAAAATGTAGACAGTCGTCTTTACTTATAAATAAATGTGTTTATTAAATTGTGTTAAACCATAACGAAGATTTACAATTTAGTAGCTTTTTTATATATCCCTTTAATTCCAAAATATTTGATCTGGTAATTTAGATTTTCTGGTAAACTAAATTGGAAACTGGTATCCCCGCGCAGTGGCGCGCCTTCTAGTGAGAAGGGAGCGTGTCCCGAGATTTGTATGTCTGGTTTTATTTCAAGTTAAAGTTTACATATTTTTTCTTAAAAATTGTCAAAAGTCCTTTAAAATATATTTTAAAGGTTGTAATGTGATTATGTGTTATCATCATAAGTGCGACCGAGACGTGTGATAAGGGTGAGCTATTTGTTTTTTTTTATTTGCTGAAGACATGTATAACTGAGAACTGTATTACATTTAAAACAATGTTTTGAGTAGATTCAATTATTCAGTGTTAAATTCTATATATGACTCGTGCATATTTCAAGTTTTTTGTTTGTATCGATGACATTGAATATATAGTGCTAAGTATAAAACAGTTTCATTTATTTATTTTGTTACTAAGGCCGGTTCAAAAGATTTCCTAGTAAATATATCAAAAAGATTCTAACAAGAATCTCGTTACCATAACTTGTGAACCACAATAGAAAAACAGTGATATACTTTTCTTTACAGTTTTAACTTTTTTTATATTTTAAAACAATAACAACAATATAGATAATGATTAAACGGCATATATTATTGTAATTATTCCTACACATCGATTATATTTTAAATATTATACCTTAATTTTCATGTACAAAAGTTTTTTGAGGTTAGTTTATGTCTACCTACTTATTTAGTATTATTAAAAACATGACCTGATATCTGCTTTCACATGTTACTGTATAGCATTTTAAATACTATTAATCTTCTTAGGAATGTAGAAAAAAAGTAATATTCTGTACATATCCAATTATATTTGAAAAAACATTAAGGCAATTGAATTTCTAAAGTTACCAAATAAATGATTGGTCACAATATATTTAATACACATTTTAATATGTTATCTAGTATAATTCTTACAATAACAATTATAATTATTTTCAATCTTCCAAATGTAGTATATAAAAACTTTTTTACTTACTTAAACTCATCTACTGCTTAAGTAATTTTTTATGTTGCCTACCCTATATTGCCTTATATTTTTTGGGTGTTATACAATAATACAATTCTTATTTTATTTGACTGGACAGTGCATAACTGATATTCCACCTGTTGGAAGGTGAAAATAAAGGCATAGGTGGTAAATCCACAATCTTTGAATTAGACTATTCTTCCTAATAATATGCAATATTCAAAAATTACTCTTCTACGCTATATGTATTGTATTATATTGGACTTATATTTACATAAGTACTTTACATAGATATGGTAAGAATATACATATATTGTTTAGAATATTTTTGGCTAAACTACTCTTTAATGTACTTTATAATACTTATAAAATTTTAAAATTATTCCTAGTACTTAATTTGCTATGAAAGCCAATCTGGAACTACTTGTTAGCCGAATAATATTTTTAACTTCTTTAATATAAAAATAATAATTCATATTTATTTTAATTCTATTTAGAAGATTTTTTTATATTATAATTGACACTAAATTCATAAATAAAAATATAATAATTTAATCAATAAATTACTGATAACATCATAGGAATATATACATACTAGATAATAACAAAGTAATATATGTATATATATAAACTTTTTAACAAATGATAAACTCCAAATACAATAAATAGGTTCTATCATTATAATTGGCCGGTATGGCCACAATGGTTTGTGCGGTCTAATTGCTGGCGTTGCAGCCGGCACTAATTAATTGTTATGGAACAAACATTCAACTCAACTTGGCATTTATTCAGACCTAATTTGACTTGAAATATGTTAGTGATTTCATATAAATTTTGTATTACAATGGCTTATTGACTATTATGGCTATAATTTAAAGTTTGTAATAATTTTTGTGTATGTAATTTAGGTTATATGACTTCAAAACTATATATGTATGTATTATACATATATATTGACTTAAACATAGTTAAAATATTGCATTTCATTTTAATTTATTTTAATTTTTTTGTTTTTTCCCATGGGTGTTTGAGTTTCTTTCAGCTTTGGTTTTTGGTCAATAATTTTGAGTTTGTAGTATATATAATATTTGCTTGATACTCAAAAAACTTCTTATACTCTTGGCAATGCTAACAACAAACTTTTATATCATTCAATCTAAAATATAGGCTTATTGATAATCTTATAAGAATTATGACCTAAAATTTTCATATTAATATATTATTATAATTAACATATATATGTTAAAATGTTAGTAAGTATTTTATTTAAATTTTATCTGTATACAATAGTGTTCATATTGAGTTTGTTTCAACTAGAGCACATGGTAATGGAACCTCTACTATAAACATGTAAGACCTTCACGGCCTTTGTTCCTATTCATTGTTAGTTGAAGTCATTATAAAGATTTAGACCAACTACAATGATTTCATAGTACAAGGGATATATAATATAATTCATATTTGGTGTTAGTACATTATTTAGTTAGAAATATACTGCTATAAATTTTTTTTTGTTTCTATATGTTATACAATAATAAGAAGTTGATTATAAAGTAGTAATTAAGAAATTGCATATTAATTTAGTTTTTAGACTATTCTACTAGTTGTGCTAAATTGCTTATTTTACTAAGGACTTTACTAATACTATTCCACACCAAATTTCATATATGAATAAGTAGACGGTGATTAAATT